GCCTTTCTAAAAAGGGAAAGGGATTGTGGAGATCGTGAGAGGTACTAGTACGAAGCAATGGGCATCACAGCGATCAGACAAGGATGGAACATTCGCTTCTGCATAGAGGCTCTCAAAAGGGGAAGAGCGAAAAGCACCAAGGCATAAACGTAATCCTTGGTGATGGATGGGGTTAAGGCTAGAGAGAGAGTAGCAGGAGAGGCCGCTGAATAAATCTGGTCACCATAATCGAGTTTCGATAAAACGAGGGTTGAATGTAGGCGAAGCAGAGTTCGACAATCAGCACCCCAGGAAAGATGAGCAAGGGTTTTAAGAAGGTTTAGCCGGCTGTGACAAGTTGCCTTCAGAGAGGTAATGTGAGGTTTCCAGGATAACCTACGGTCGAAGAGAAGGCCTAGAAACCTGACTGTATCACGTTCGGGGATACGAGAGCCATAGAGATACAAAGGATGATCGGAGATGACAGAGCGCATAGTGAAAGTAATTTGGTGAGTTTTGGTACTGGAAAATTTAAACCCTCCTTGCATCACTTCTACTTTGTAAAAACTTCTCATATGCTAACTTTTTCTCCCTTACTACTCTCTTTACATCATCATTCCACCAATCGCTCCTCTTCCCTCCCGCACCCACTTTCCTGTAACCACAAACTTCTGCTGAACACTCTAACACTACATTTTTAAACCTACCCCATACCTCTTCGACCCCATTGCCTATGCTCTCATTAGCCCATCTATCCTCCAATAGCTGTTTATATCTTACCCTAACTGCCTCCTCTTTTAGTTTATAAACCTTCACCTCTCTCTTCCCTGATGCTTCTATTCTCCTTGTATCCATCTACCTTTTACTCTCAGTGTAGCTACAACTAGAAAGTGATCTGATATATCTGTGGCCCTCTATAAACATGTACATCCTGAAGTCTACTCAACAGTCTTTTATCTACCAATACATAATCAAAAAACTACTGTCATTTGCCCTACATCATATTTTGTATACTTATTTATCCTTTTTTCTTAAAATATGTATTACCTATAACTAAACCCCTTCTATACAAAGTTCAATCAAAGGGCTCCCATTATCATTTACACCTGGAACCCCAAACTTACCTACCACACCTCTCTAAAAGTTTCTCCTACTTTAGCATTCAGGTCCCCTACCAAAATTACTCTCTCACTTGGTTCAAAGGCTCCTATACATTCACTTAACATCTCCCAAAATCTCTCTCTCTCCTCTGCATTCCTCTCTTCTCCAGGTGCATACACGCTTATTATGACCCACTTCTCGCATCCAACCTTTACTTTAATCCACATAATTCTTGAATTTACACATTCATATTCTCTTTTCTCCTTCATAACTGATCATTCAACATTACTGCTACCCTTCCTTTGCTCTAACTCTCTCAGATACTCCAGATTTAATCCCATTTATTTCCCCCCACTGAACTCCCCTACCACCTTCAGCTTTGTTTTGCTTAGGGCCAGGACATCCAACTTCTTTTCATTCATAACATCAGCAATCATCTGTTTCTTGTCATCCGCACTACATCCCCGCACATTTAAGCATCCCAGTTTTATGAAGTTTTTCTTCTTCTCTTTTTTAGTAAATGTCTACAGGAGAAGGGGTTACTAGCCCATTGCTCCCGGCATTTTAGTCGCCTCATACGACACGCATGGCTTACGGAGGAAAGATTCTTTTCCACTTCCCCATGGACAATAGAAGAAATAAAGAAGAACAAGAGCTATTTAGAAAAAGGAGAAAAACCTAGATGTATGTATATATATATGCATGTGCGTGTCTGTGAAGTGTGACCAAAGTGTAAGTAGGAGTAGCAAGATATCCCTGTTATCTAGCGTGTTTATGAGACATAAAAAGAAAACAGCAATCCTACCATCATGCAAAACAGTTACAGGTTTCTGTTTCACAGTCATCTGGCAGGACGGTAGTACTTCCCTGGGTGGTTGCTGTCTACCAACCTACTACCTATTATTATAACAGAAAAATTGTGATAGATATATAAGCAGTAGAGATGATATTAGGGAAATTATTGAAGTATTTTCTCGTGCCTGGAATTCCACTGGAATGGATTAATTCCATTTCAATTAATTTAAGTGAGGAAAACTGACTCTGCAAATGAGCAAATCCAGATGTAGGCAAGGTCACAGAATGGATTAAACTCATAAGTAAAGGTTCCACTGTATAATAAACTTTAGACTCAATCCGAGCAAGAACTGGGCCAACATTGGTAAACAAAGCTGTTCATTTATTTATATCACTTAGTTCAAACCACCATTTACGGAACTTATACAATAAACATTTCCATCTATTTTAGAGGTAGCATGGTTCATTAATATAAAAAAAATCATTAATGTCATGTTACTTAAGTATTATTATTATTACTTTCACACAAAAAATGCTAAGCTTGTATTATTACCTAGGTAAGGCTAATATACATGCATCTTCTCACTTTGTTTACCAATGGGACTCATTTACCTGTCGCTAATTAATTTTAAAACACTCTTTCCAAACTTGCCCTTTCAATAGCATCTCTATCTTGAGGAGAAACTAGAATGGCATTCTGGCCAGGAACAGCACGGCCACTGCCACCACCACCACCACCTCCACCACCGCCGCCGCCGCCGCCGCCACCACCACCACCACCGCTGCTTTGGTTACCGCTGCCTCCAGTGCTAGTACCTGAAAAATAAATATCAAATATTTAGTCCACAACACAGGCTTTTCCCTAGTATACAACAGTTTTTTAAAACTCTTCTATACTCCACACACATCTAATTCCACTGGCACTGTATGGTCCACTCCAAGGCAAAGTGCAGGTAATGAAACTTGCATAACCAATTTCAGATTCTCCCACTAAGACCACACTTTCTGGCATTCCTTCACTCTGTACTTCTGCCTAAATACTGTTCCCACCAGTATACAGTTCTGTTTTATTATATGTTTTATGTACTCATTCATTACTGATATAAAATGGGTAGAACAAATTTTCATACAAATATTTTTCATTACTATAACTCCCTTCAGGTAAGAGTTCTTTCCTTGTTAGCCATGTGTTGTAAGAGACTCAAGGGTAAAGGGATGGTTACCACTTTCTCCTTCAATTAATAATAAAAAAAGACAAGTAAATCATTGCATTTTCTTCTCTGAATCACCCTGCCTTGGTGGGAAATGGTCGATGAGATAAGAAATCTGTATAACAAGTTAGTTGGTATTTTTTATCATTTTTTTTTTCAGCTTGTCTAAACCTGGATCCATGGTTGATAATCAGGTTAAGTGAAAAGCTAAAACCAGAGGGAAACAGAAATATAATAGCTTGGTTATACCTCCTGAGCTGCCACCTTCATTCAGCATTCGAACAAAGGCCTCTTGATTTTGCTGGATGACCTGCAGTAACTGGGGATTAGTTTGACCAATTTGTTGAATAAATGCATCCAGAAGTGATGGATTTGACCTGAAAAGTCAGGTTAAAGAATTCAGTGTGCAGAATGAACAAGTTACACTTTGTTCAATTCAAATTTTCAATGTTTTCTAAAGTTACAGGTCATTTTTTTTGTGGAAACAGCACTAAAAATAACAGATCTATTCTTCAATGACTAAAATACTGCTCCATCAAAAATCTATACATTAAGAACAAAAGCAACAGCAAAAGTGCTCACCTAATCATCTGCCGCATTTGTTCAAACTGTGGCTGTGATCGAAGGAAGTTAAGAGGATCCTCTGAGGAAGTCCAAAGTTTAATTATGAAGATTATGTTATTAGCCTGATGCATCAGAAAGGATGATACTCATTTCTGTAATCTTTACTTATAACTGTGCCACCATTACTTGCACTACAATTTGTTAAATGATCTATTAGAATAGCATTCGAAACAAATAACAAATTTTATACAAGATTACACACCAAAAAATATCATATACACTTTTTTTGAGCATTTCACCATCATTTCAACCCAGAGGTGTGTAATATGCTCAACTCCAGACAGCTGTAGAACAGGCAGATAAGATGTAAAGACAAGAGAATCATATAATACCATGTAGTGCAGGCAAGTAGTGGAAGACAGCAAAAAAAAAAAAAAAAAAGGGAAAGTGCTGAAAGTTTACAAGGAGAAAATCTTCAAGGAGCATTGTCTCTGGGGAGGGAGTGTGTCAGGTAGTTAAAGATATGTGCCACACCAAAACATGCCTCGCAAAGAGCACAAAGGAGACAGTTTCTCACAGGTGATGCTAGCGAGTTGGATGTACACGTTCAAGTGGAACAAGGTGAATGCTTTTCAGCAAGAGAAAACAAGGGCCCATACAACAATAAACCTGATACAGAAAAGTTTACTTTCTAAGACTGTGCCTCACTGGTTATAATACCCACTTGAAAGAAAGCAACAAGACCTGTTTTTTCTCAGGGTTCTTATTCTCAATATCCGAAATGTAAAAAAAAAAAAGCAGGTGGGGAATTGAAAAGGCCGGTATTAAATCTTGTGATTAATGGTGTGGAAGGGATTAAAATTAGCCCAGCATTTGTAGGGCTTCCTGGGAAACTGAACTGAATCACTGCTACAAAGATGACTTAATGCAACACAGCACCTGGAGGATGCCAGGCTCCTCGGCTATGAAAACTGATGCCTCATGTGGGAAGGAGCCCAATGTAAAAAAAGCTCCCAAAACACAGCTGTGAACGAATGTAGAAGGTATAATAAGAACATAAGAAGGAACACTGCAGCAGGCCTACTGGCCCATGCAGGGCAGGTCCATGTGAACCCCCAGCTTAGACCAATGGCCCACCCAGTCAGGTCACCTCCACTTAAGGACCACAGCATCTGACCCAGTAGCACAAGCTAGTCAGGTCCACCTTACACCCACCCACACCCACTCATGTATTTATCTAACCTATTTTTAAAACTACACAATGTCTTAGATTCTATAACGGTACTCGGGAGTTTGTTCCAATCATCCCAAACTCTATTACCAAACCAGTGCTTTCCAATATCCTTCCTAAATCTGAATTTTTCCAGCTTAAAACCATTGCTGCAAGTCCTGTTTAGGCTAGATATTTTTAGCACACTATTTACATCCCCTTTATTCATTCCTGTTTTCCATTTATCCACCTCAATCATATCCCACCTAATTCCATGCCTTTCTAGAGAGTGCAGATTCAGGGCCCTCAGCCTATCCTCATAAGGAAGATTTCTGATACATGGGATCAACTCTGTCATCCTCCTCTGTACATTTTCCAGTGCACTTATATCCATTCTGTAATACAGTGACCAGAACTGTGCAGCATAATCTAAATGAGGCCTAACCAAGGATATATAGTGTTGAACAACCTGAGGAATTCTATTATTTATGCTTATTGATATGAAGCCAAGGATTCTGTTAGCTTTACTGCGAACACTTATGCACTGTTGTCTTGGTTTCAGATTACTGCTAACCATAACTCCTCAATAATGGTTACTGACATTATGGATGAAAGGACACACGTGCATACACTAGGACATCTTTATTGTATATGTTTCAGTCCTGGGACCTTTGTTACCTAGGTAACAAAGGTTCCTCAAACTTGAGACAGAGAATGCACAGACCCATTCTCTCATGTCTAAGCCAAAATTTGCCACTCACACCATATTTGAGAGTAATATAACTTATGCATAGACCTATGGTACCAATATTGCTCCCACTGAGGTAGATCTATGCGACCAACAGTTTAATTTAAAGGTGAAAGAAAAGATAAAGTTGAATGGACTTGGAACCAGCAGCAGCTGCCTAGAATGATCCACAGCTGAGGGCAGGAGAAAATGAACAGAATAACCCACAAGGCATAAACTGAAGTTACAGGATAGGAACCCCATATTTTTCCCTATAGATGGTGTACCATCGAGAAACACCTGTTGCTCTCAAAGCAAGTGGACTAAGTACTCAGTAATGGATGTTGTTAGAACCTAAACACAGAAAAGACAGCAGGTCATTGTTTTAAATATATGCACAAAGAGAGCTTTTTCACTCCTTGTACATGCTCAAACAGATGCTATTTTTGCACTGGGCCAGGAAGACACAATCTGGAAACCAAAGATGATAAATGTAGTTGGTTGCAATATTCTCAACATGATTAAACCATTGAATGCTAAAGACAGAGCATTTATTAGTAGAACTCACCCTAAGAGTGAATAAAAAGGACAAGATTCAACACAAAAAAAAAAATAGTTGCACAAATGCAAGGCTTAGGTGCGGTATTTATCAAGGATGATCCACAGAGCTGGAGGTTAACACAAAACTGCCAATACCATGGGTGAAAGACAGCACACAAGGTCTGAGATGGCAAAAGACAGAAGCTGTGTCATAAAATCTATTTGGATAGTTGAGTAGACTTTGCTACCTTTAGACTGGTGAAGGTACATACTCATACAAGGCTTTTAGACACAATATGGAAAATATGCAAACATGCTCTCCTGGAGAAGATGCATAACGTGCCACACAGAATAATGAGTGGAGCTCTCAGAGAATTCCTTGGTAATGATTGCCATGACAAACTTGTAACAATGGAAAACTTCCAAACCCCATACTCCAGCTAGACTAAAGGATCCAAAGTGGAGTGAAACTGGCAGAAACCAGACTAGACCAGTTAAAACCACGAAAGCCTGATGCTATCTCATCAGCATGTTATTGCAATTTATTAATGATAGGGTTATATAAGTCAGGGACCAAAAGTCATCTGCCAAGAATCAGAAAGAAATGACAATGATGAAATGCCACCTGGATGGAAGTGTACAGAGGTCTAGTCACAATTTCACAGGTTTAAAAGTAAAAGGAATACGGATAGCAAGTGCTGCTGCAGTGCTCCTCTGTTTTCTTGTTCTTATGGACTACTTCCACTATTACTACTATTATTTCTTCACTAGTACTACACACATTGCTTTTTTTCACTATTAATACTACTACCTTCTTACTGCTACCTCTACCACTACTGTACTGCTATTACTACTGCTACCCCCTCCTCCCTTTCTATCACTCCCCTTCCCCAGCCCCCTCTGGTATATATTCTCATATCACCTGAAATTCCCAGTAACGTCTTGGCATTCTTCAATGTTTTGCTTCCTGTGTACACATTGAGATCAAATACCAGACCAGTTTCACAATTACACAACACTAACAGCTTGATACCAAAGCATTTCCTTTTGCTTGGTATATACTGCTTGAATGATAGTTACCACTGAACAGTATCAAAGACTCTGATGACAAGGTTCAAGGAGGGATAAATACTCACTGAACTTCTGCGTGAGATACATATCAACACTCCTTGTATAATGTCACTTCTGTTGGGCCTTATCTTGTCTTAGAAGTGTAGCATATGTAGCAGCAGGATAAATCTACTGATGGAGAAGAGTTAAATGAGCACCGAGGCATATATACGGCAGTCGATCAACTAGTATGATGCAAAGGTGGCATAAGCATTATTGTGGTAAAGTTTTTTTCCCACTAGTGTAGCCATGGCTGTGGTGAAACAACCATGTTTACCATTGTATACAGGAAGTGTTTGTTGGTTTCCCCCTCATTACTATTTGCATCAGGGATTCATCAAAACAGTTCAAAGGATTCAAGTTTAGTGGCATCATTCTAGATTCCACTCTCATCATATTGATAGGGATCTGGTACAACATCTGTGCATCATCTTGCCAATCCCAGATGTGGTTTGGTGATGGTTGCTGGATATTTGCAGCTGATTATGGTGGTTGTAGGAGTTGTTGTTTTGTGTGGTTGGTGGAGGCAGCCCAAGCTGCTTGGGATGTAGGATATGGTTCCCATCCTGGGCTGGCACTCTTGTCACCCACCTCCCTCTCCCATGTAGTGCTGGCAATGCTTGCTGCTGGCTACCCATGTCAATGGATGCACCATCCTATCACCAGTGTTGGATCCTGTGATGCACTATGTCCTTTCAGGATAGCAATGGGCACACTATCAGACCACGTGCAGCGCCATATATATTGACACATCACAGGCCATTAATTTTCATCACTATCACGTGACTGGTCATTGATTACCAGGAAATTGAAGTGCACATTACTATCACCACTACATTACTCACATCTGTGCCCAAGCCATGGGAGAATGAGCCTTCACTTACATGGTAGACATTCTTGATGAACCAACCCCAGATGTAGATGGTTGCAGCACTTTTTGGCATTCCATCCATCACCTTCCATCACTAAACATTTGAAACCAAAGAACTCGTCCTTAGTTCTGTAACCCTCATTGTTGGAGCTGTCACCAGGGAATAATACCTGTTGTGTAAGGGCAGCATGGTGAACAATGGCATAACAACCCTTTCACTATCCGTCATGCAGAATTATGTTACTGATGTCAGGGTCCATCATGTAGATTTATGTCATTAGCTCTGCTCACCCATAAGCTGTGAGCACTATATTTTGACCTAGATACAAGAGGAAGGGTCTTGTGCAGTGAGTGTGGTCAGTGTATAAAAGAAATCCTGCCTCACACAGTGCATGGCAGGAAAAGTAAAACATTGACTTAGTGTTGGGTTTAAAATAGCAACTTTGAGGTGTTTTCTAGGATGGCTTTTATAATATTGGCTTTTTTTTTGGTATTAATTGATAGAATGGAAAACATACTACTGAAACAAAGATAACTTTAGCTGGTTCCAGGACCAGCAGTAGCTTGAAATCTGCCTGAAAGTAGAGGAAATATTCAATTTTTGTCACTATTCCTGAGGAC